TATTACTTTGGCTGCTATGTAGACAGTGGATTGGAAGCTGGCAAGATAGGAGACGGGTGGAAGAGTTAGGAGCCAGGGAACAAAGTGGTAGATTGGATTAGCGTGATGATGATGATGACAGAACTGGAGAAAAGTTGATAGATTTAAGGTTTATACTAGAGTTTTAATGATAGGACATGATAATGAACTAGATTTATGAGCGAATGAAGAAACAGGTGTCAAGAATAGCCTCTATTTTTGACACAGCAACTAGTTGGTTGATAATTGATCGTGTCACTTAGTGACACAGAGGAACACTGGGGCAGGGAGCATTTCTGGTAAAGCCGAGAGGTGGGAAGGACGAGTTCAATTGTGAGACTAATCAATCCCACTTATGTTCTAAATACTTCACATACATTTTATAGTAACATAGCCATATTCACCAGTCTTTTCAGTCTATGTCCTCTACTATGGAAATCTTGACAGATTACTAAATTCCTAGCTCTGAGATGTTACTTTCAATCAAGGATTAATGAAAAGGATAAAGAGAATTAGCTTTTTAGGCTGAAATGTCTACGATTTTAGACTTTCTGTCCCAGATTACAAAATGATAATGTTAATTGCAAGTTAAAAGATCTGGAAGAGAATAATCAGTCAAGAATTTGGCATTATGACTAAATCTTCTAAAACATAATAGTCTGCCTTACAGAACATACTAGCTGCAGTCTTAGCCCAAACTTTTCTATGCAGTAGGATTTCAGGTGTTCTCGCTGGTACTGAATGCAAATTTGGGGGTCAATTTCTGTTGCCTTTATCTCATTTAAAAGAGACTGCCTACTAACTGTAACTCTCAGTGATTCACAGGCCAGAGCCACATGGCATTGGTTCAGAGTATTTAGACAGATCAGGGGAATGCAAGTCCGAGAAGGGACAGTGGGACAGAAGCCACAGAAACTCTGCTGAAAAAAAAAAAAAGAATGGCCCAGTATTTTCATAACTTCCACATTATAGTTGACTTAAGTAGAATCATAGCTTATTTTAAAATGGAAGCAGGGCTTCCATTTTAAGAAACAACATCCACTGAATGTGTATTATGTTTCAGGAACTGCACTCAATGCTTTCCATGTATTATATGATTTAATTTCCTCTGAACACCTTGAAGGTAAGTACTCACATGACTAGCATTTGAGAGACCATGACATGAGGCTTAGAGGTCATAAATCATTCTCCAAAGCCACACAGGTGGTAAATGCAAGAGTGAAATGGCCAGGTAGGTTTAACTCCAGAAGCAGGGTTTTCTGCCACTGGGTCACACTGTGCCCTTACACGAATAAAAGAGAAGACTAAAAAATCTCAGTATTTCTTTAGTATTAAAAGCTAAAAATAAAAACAAAAATTGGATATATGTTGGTTTGCAAATATTTGGGAATATTTCAAAATAAGGGAAATGTGTCTGCTGTGCTGAACCGTCCTTTCCTTACACGGTGTTCTGAAGACATAGGTGACCACTTACAGGTATTCAAAACTACCTTGCGCTTTCTACCAGCACAATTCCTCACAAATTTGGAGATATTTGACTTTTATAATGTAGTTCCTGTTACTGTGAATTTCATCCTGGCTTCATCCTATACCCTTTTAAAAACTATTAACCTGCAATTGTTCATTATTTTTCTCTAAACTTCTGTGATTGAAATTCGTTTTCTTTCAATTGGTCCATTATCACTGCACCCCTATTCTTAAAGCACTTTCGACAAATACTTCGACTTTTCTAACAGAAAGTATGTGTTGTTAAGTAATTTGCTTTAGTTTGAGTTTTTAAAAACAAGGGGGGAAAGCAATGAGGTATTTCAATTGACTTTATAGCAAAATTCTAAATGATATAGCAATAACTGCCTAGTTGTGGTCATTTCTACAAAGATGCAAATAAAATGAAGAACATGAAATGCTCCTCTCATCCTTCAGAAACACAGGTATAATCCACTCCACCTGTAATACCACCACAGCAGCTCCCTTTCCACCATCCTCAACTCCAGCTGACTGAACTGAGTTTTGAAAGATGAAGAGTTCACAAGACGAAAGGGGCATTCCAACTGGGTAGACAACGTACACAATGGACAGCAAAGCTGTGAAGGGAATCATTGGGGGTGGGGAAGATGAACACTGATAGGAGATAAGCTATGTTAGGTAGGTTGAAGTCAAATTTTGAGAGCCTCTTATGCCATATAGAAGGAGTCTGACAGTCACTTAGGTAATGGCAGCCCATTTTCCTTCTGTGTTCAAGTGCTCATATATGTCCTTTAGCTCCTGTCATTAGTTACATTGAAAAATAAAGCCATGCCTTCTCCACTTTTTCCATATCCATCTGTAGCATATTTCTACAATTTAGGCATTTAGCAGCCCATTACTATGGTTCTCTGTATGTGAAATTGCACTTTGGCATGAAGAAAAACCATGAGTATTTCAAAGGAAGTCTGTTTGGGTGGAAATTTCTAAGACTATAAAGCAATTGAAAAATACAGATAGAAAAATAAAATATCATTCAGGAGGAAAAAATGCACATCTACTACCGAAGCCATGAGTGTTCTTTTAATAAAAGATAGTTCATCTTTTCTGCAAACAGACTATCATGATTAATGGACCATCTCAAATGAAGAGGAATGATTACAATTATACAAAGTTGTCCCAAGCTCCCTCCAAAATTGTCCAGTTGTCACAAGAGATTTTATTTTTGGAATTTCCAGCCCTGATTAGGACCAAGTAAACAGAAGAAAGTAGAGTGTGTGTGTGTGTGTGTGTGTGTGTGTGTGTGTGTGTGTGTAATTTTGAAACTATTTTTTTAAAATTAGACTCGTTTTATGTGTTAAAGCTGCTGGACTTCAAATCAACTAAATTTCCAGATTGTTTGGCT